CTGCTGGCTGGTGATGCAGCGAGTGCCACCTCCAGCTCAGAGTGGGCAGTGGTGTCCCCCAAGGCTCTGTCCTTGGACCAGTATTGTTTAATATCTTCATCAGAGATTTGGATGAAGGTGTTGAAAGCACCTTATCCAAATTTGCAGATGACACTTAACTATGGGGTATAGTAAACACATTGGAGGGCAGGGAGCAAATCCAGGCAGATCTGGACAGACTGGGGAAGTGGGCAGATGAGAATAGGATGCAATTTAACAAGGATAAGTGCAAGGTGCTGCACCTGGGGAGAAAGAATCTCCAACACACCTATAGGCTGGGGGGTACCATTCTGAGTACCACAACTGTGGAAAGAGATCTCAGAGTCCTGGTCAAAAACAAAACTGAACATGAGTAGCCAGTGTGATGAGGTAATAAGCAAGTCTAACTGCACTCTTTCTTGCATCAGCAGATGCATCACAAGCAGGTCTAGGGAAGTGATAATTCCCCTCTATGCAGCACTGGTGAGGCCGCAGATGAAGTATTGCATCCAGTTTTGGGCGCTGCACTTCAAGAGGGATGTGGACAACCTTGAGAGGGTCCAGAGGAGGGCTACTCATATGGTTGAGGGCCGGCAGGTAAGACCTTATGAAGACAGACTGAGGGACCTGAATCTCTTCAGCCTCCGCAAGAGAAGGCTGAGAGGTGATCTTGTGGCTGCCTACAAACTCATCAGGGAGGGTCAGCAGGAAATAGGGGACACTTAGTTTACCAGGGTGCCTCAGGGTTACCAGAAATAATGGCCACAAACTGAAGAATAGATTTAGATTGGACATAAGGAAGAAATCCTTTACGGTGAGGGTTGCCAAAATATGGAATGGGCTTCCAAGGGAGGTGGTGCTTTCCCTTACCTTGGAGGTGTTCAAGAGGAGATCAGACAGGCATCTGGCTGGGGTTACTTAACCACAACGCTCTTTCCTGCCTGGAGCAGGGAGCAGCAGACCCGATGATCTATCTGGTCCCTTCCAACTGTAGAAATCTATGAATCTATAAAGGAGATCCAATGGGATAATCCAAGGGTCCTTCTGACCTTAATGCCTGTGTCTAATAACTGCCAAATTCCAACAGCATGCTGTCCAATATACCTTAAAATTAGGATTAATTTCAGGACAAAATACAGGGAAAGCCCTTGGTATTTCAGCACAAAATACAGGGAAAGCCCTTGGTATTTATTGAGGTAAATTCTTTATGGTCACTGACACAGAAAATATCTCCATATTCACAGTGTTGAATCTCTCAGTACCCTTTGACACAGCAGACTGTAGCATACTGCAAACTGCTCCAGTGCCCTACAACATACCAGCTAAAGCACTACAGAGATGTTGAACATTATTACAATAACTTCTAGGGCCCTTACCTTTGCCTTTGCTAACATATTGGCTGAGTGCACAGACTTGCAGACAATTACAACCAGAAACAGCACTTACCGCTATAGTTTTCTCCTTGATTCCACCAACAGGAAGAATTTTTCCAGTTAATGACACCTCTCCAGTCATGGCCACATTTTGCCTCACTGGACGATTCATGGCCAGTGACAGTAAGGCTGTTATTATTGTACACCCTGCACTTGGTCCATCCTTTGGAGTCGCTCCCTGGAGTGAAAGATATTTTGACAGAAATGTTCAAACTAAATGAGAAGGTGGGTATGAAATATTCATTGCCAAGAGCACTGTACACAGATCTGCAGCTAAACTCACTCCAACATAATCGTCATTGCTGGGCTGATACAGGAACTGAAGAGAGGGTTGCGAGGGCCAGACTAACATATCTGGCTTTGATTTTTGATACTTGATTTACTATGTCATTGATTAGTTGAGGTGCCACTGGTGAAGTCCAAGGTAGCCCTATTAAAAAGGCAGAACTATACATACAGCTGTAACATTACATTTCAATTTTCTACATATGGGTCATGGGATTAGTAGATTTGGGAATGCCACAGATTTTGGATTACTTAAAAGATACAGATTAAGATAGAGCCTCAAAAAGACATGCACCCACTTTGTGAAAGATCATGTACTTTATATAATCATGGAGAACCATGATCTTGCATCCTTCATGTCATTTAAAGATCCTTTTCTTCTTCATTAACCATGCTCAGGACGGTATGGACAGAGTCAGAGGCTTTATGTCCCTCTGACAGTAACAGAGAAGGAATAGGAAAAAGTATAGAAATGAAACAGCAGCACTCAGACAAGAAGTAATTATCAAGCAATTAATAATGACAATTGTTTTACAAACTGGTGACAGCACTGTGAATGAACATGTGATGGGCCTGGAGTTTATGCTTTGAAACCTGATGTTCCAAAGCCAAAGTAGAAATAGAAAGGACCACACCATACCATATTTACCTGAATATACGATGACCCTGATTATAAGACAACACCTGCATAATTAGATTCTATATATGGAAAATGTATAAGTTTGATATAATTTTTCTGGTATAGAACCTAATTATTGGAAGTTTGTCTTGAATTTGTCCCTCTCCCACTGCCACAGCAGGGAAAATAAATCTGGGGAAGGATCAGGCAGACCCTTTGCCCCCCAGCTTCTTCCCCCTGCAGCCCCTTCCCCCTCTCTTTACTGTCAGACCCTGCTCTCTCTGAGCACATGTAAGTGAGGGACAAATTAAAAAAAACTAAGCTTGAAATCAACACAGCTGTAGTAATTTGCACATAGTACCCATAGATTTAGTTCACCCAGAATTAATGCATTTTATATTTTCTGAAACTGCTGCAAGTTTTAACACAGATACTCCAAAAACACTTCTTAACTAGTGTTTTGGCACCTACTTACATATAGCACAAACAATTTTTAATTTTTTTTATCTTTTTCAAGGCCAAATCAGTTTCAATTTCAACTGAGCAAATCCTGGTAGTCAAATTCTAAAATTTGACTAAGCAGAACTCCATTGTAAAGTCTGTGTGGCTCTACCACTGGGCAAGTATCCTCCCTCCCACACCCACTGGTCTGGGGCTTCAGATACTCCCCAAACCTAGGCAGACATCCAATGTGAAAAACTCCGGGCCTGGAAACCTTGAGGTTCAGATGCCCCCCGCCTCCCTTGTGACGGCCAGAACCAAATAAATTAATAAGCAATAAATATGTGCTTCTTGGAGGCATTTGGAACTTTTGTCTAATACGAAGCTTGTATTTTTGTAACCCACAAATGTAACTTGTAACTGTTTGTGGAACTGACTAGGCCTCAAAGACAAAGCTCTAGCTGTGAAATTAGCTGACCTAATAGTTCTTTCTCGCTCAGAATTTAGCCTTGATGATGATAAAAACTGGATTCAACTGCCCAGCTTATCCAATACATTTCAAGAAAGGACATGTCAAAAAAGCATAGTCAGAGAGTTTTGAAGGGGCTGGATTTAGGTGGGGTAATGTTAATTTTAAACCTGAAGATGTTGTGTTGCAATTTGCTTATTGGATAAACCCAAGCTTGGGCAGTAACTTATTATAATAATTTCTAACACCTTTTAACCCCATAGGATAACAGCTATAAAGCAATATTATGAATGGCTATATAACTAAAAACTTAGCATAATTAGGATATAAAAGAACATGCACGTCACAGTAACCCTCGGGAAGGACGAAACAGAAGGGTCATTGCTGTCCCATACCCCCACAGATCTCTCTTACTCCCTGTGAGAGTGAGGACCAGATCCTGACTGAGGGGCTTCCACCAGTATCCTTCCGGCAGCCCAGTTCAGAGACATCTGACTTCACTCATTCAACTTGATGTGCATCTTTTAACCAAGGGACTATCAATAAGTTACTAACCAAGTGGCAACTCTTGGTTAATTTCTTTATCTGTTTTATTATCACTGTCAATTTTAATCTGTATTGTTAAGCTTATTAGCTTAACCTTTTTATTAACTATTATATATGCAAACTATATCTTGTGTTGTCATAAGTAAAATTCATTCCTTTTTGTAAGTGAAACTTGTCATTTCTTTTCTTTCCAACATCACCTTCTCAATCCCGAACCAAAAAGCCCAGTGGCTAATAAAGTTGCAGTGCTCAGTCAGTCTGCAACTAAACTGATATATTCACAGTGCCCAGCTGGCCTGTGACACTTAATCCTAACCAAAAAGCCTCACAGGACATTAGTCCAAAGCCCAAAGGCTCATGCTTTACTATATAGGTCACCAATCTAGGTCCCAGCACAGTCAACAGTTTTTCAAGCCATGGTGACCCCACA